TAATGTAAATTTGTTAATGTTTTGATTTGCAATACCAAAATAAGAGTTGGGTAAAAATCATTTATAATTTATAATGTTTATTTTGGGATACATACCGGCAACTTCCCCTGGTTCCAGACCTGCTGTCACAGGAACAGGGCAGGGTTCTACATCACAACCCCAGTTTCTACCGCCTGACAGCGTGGAGAAGAAGAGATTGGATTTATACCCTGCCCTTCCCTCAGTCTCAGAGCAGTTTACAAACTCCTTTCCCTTCCCCTCCCCACAACAGACACCCTGTGAGGTAGGTGGGGCTGAGAGCTCTGAGAAAACTGCTCTTTTAAGGACAGCTCTGACAGAACTATGGCTTGCCCAAGGTCATCCAGCAGCTGCAAGTGGAGGAGTGGGGAATCAAACCCAGTTCTCCCAGATTAGAGTCCTCGCACTTAACCACTACACCAAACTGGCTCTCTAACTTTTCTTTCAGAAGCATCCCTCGTGTTGCTTAATGCCAGGAAGCCAGGTACCTGCCGCACTTATGAGTCCAAGTGAAAACGCTTCTCCACCTATGTGTTCGCTCATCAGCTTGACCCCAGATTGGCTCCATTACCAGATGTTTTGTCGTACCTAGTGTCACTGCAACAGTCTAGCCTCGGGTTCTTCTCACTAAAGGTCCACCTGGCAGCAATCTCAGCCTATAATGATTTGATAGAAGGCAATTCCCTTTTTTCTCACAGGGTCACCAAAACCTTCCTTAAGGGCATGTTGTGACTCCATCCCCCTTAGAAGCCTGTAGCTCCTGAGTGGAGCTTATCTCTAGTCTTGGCCAAGCTCACAAGTAGAAGAAGAAGAAGAGATTGGATTTATACCCCGCCCTTCACTTGGAGTCTCAGAGCGGCTTACAAACTCCTTTCCCTTCCCCTCCCCACAACAGACACCCTGTGAGGTGGGTGGAGCTGAGAGAGCTCTGACACAAACTGCTCTTTTTTAAGGACAGCTGTGCCAGAGCTTGTGACTGAAACAAGGTCACATCAGCACGTGCAAGTGGAGGAGTGGGGAATCAAACCCGGTTCTCCAAGATTAGAGTCCACACACTTCACCAAGTAGGCCCTCTGAGCCGATGGCAATGACTTCTTTCCATCTCCTCACCTGGAAAATGGCATTCAAAGTTGCAGTCACCTCTGCTAAGAAGGTGAGCAACCTATTTGCTTTCCAAGTGGATGATCTGTGTTCCACGGGGACAAGGTGGTGTTGCGCCTGACCCACATTTTCTGCCTAAGGTGGTCTCACCATTCCACCTGTCACAGCCTATGGTGTTGACTACCTTCTTCCCAAATCCGAGTAGTGAAGGACAACGAGCGTTATATTCCTTAGACATTTGTAGAGCCCGATCTTTCTACTTGGCCATTTCACAAAGACCCTCACTTGTTCGTGTCTTGTGGTGAACCGAGGGAGGGCTACAGGATTATTATTATTGCTAAATAAGATCTAAAATATGATTTAAGTTTTTAAAATCTTAATTTAAAAAATCAGCGGTGTTCTCTGGGACCTGAGTGCAACTGGAGGAAGTTATGATGAGCATGCGATCTCTTTTTCCCAGTCCTTCAGCAAATCAAGTTGAGGGATACTTAGTAAAGTGGACAAATGGAGGGAACGAGACTTATTTCATTTTGGATAACTTCGGTCCACACAGATAATTTTGAAAATCTTTACACCACTCCTGTAGAGCAGGCCAGTATTTTTATCCCCAGGTTACAGTTGCTGAGTTAGGATAAAGACAGTTGCTGCTGGTTGCTGACACAGCTGCTCCAGGACCTAGAAGTCAGTGTGTCGTGGAGGGGGTTGAACTCCTCTGAAGTGGGGGTGGGTTCATAGTGGGGGTGGGCCCTACTGGATCCTGGCCTGCAGTTGCATGTCCAAATCTTCTCTGTGGCATGTAGCACCTTTTATCAGGTCTGGCTGATATGCAGCTATGGCTTTTCCTCAGAAAGTGTGATGTGGCCGCAGTGATCCATGCTCTGATTACATCCAGGTTAGATTACTGTAGGATTGCCAGGCCCTCACCTGTTGCTGGCAGGGGGACAGAGCCTCTTCATTGGGATCATGTTGCCAGGGGACACTGGCATTTGGCCAAAAACTCTATGGTACCATAGAGTTTTTATACCGAGTGCTAGAGCGTTGTGTGCCCCCACCCTTCCGGGCGCGATCCTGGCTCTTTGGGGGCGGGATTCCTCTTGCCGGCTGGATGTGGGTGGGTGGATCAGGGGCCCCTAAAGCGGGCAAACCCCCTCCCCTCCCCTGGGGAAACGGCAAGCCTAGATTACTGTAAAGCATTTTATGTGGGGCTGCCTTTGAAAACTTTCCAGAAACTTCACCTCATCCGAAATAAGAGTGGGGTATTGTCAGGTCTGCGCAGGCAGCCTGTGTTTCTGGGTGCAATTCAAAGTGCTGGTTCTTGCTATTAAAGCTTTAAATGGCTCGGGGCCTGGGTATTTGAAGAACTGTCCCGTCCCATATTTGCCTGCCTGCTGGTTCAGGTCTGCCTCACAAGCCCTGCTTCCCCCCCCCCACCCCCCGCCTTCAAAAGTGAGGCAGGTGGCAACAAGAGACAGGATTTTTTTCCCCCATAGTGGCACCTTGCTTATGGCAGTATTTCCATACCTCCTGTGGGTTGGGACCCAAAAGTGGGTCACCGAGCCTCTGAAAGTCGGTTGTGATCAAGCCCTCACTAATGGCCACCCTTGCCGTTGCTCTCGCATATCTTGGAAACCCAAAATCTGACCCTGGAAATGGGCCACTTCTGCATTGTTCTTTTTGTCAATCGTTTGTCCCTATTGCTCCAGGGTTCCCCCCGCCCAATGAGTTTTGCTCTCTTTAGTAGTCCCAGAGGGAGCAAAACACATGTGGGAAAGGGGGGGGGGGGGAGACACACAACACACACAGG